TTCCTTTCTTCTCCTCTTCCTCCTCCTTCTCTTCCTCCTCCTCCCCTCTACCTCAATTCATGCACATTGAAAAAAATAAAATAAAAAGATAGTAAATCAAAAGTAAAATCCCTCATCAGGGGTAACCATTGCAAACAGTTACAATAATGGGATGATACTGGTTATCGTTGCTCTCCAGACAGAGACCACGAGGAACACACTTGTCGTTGAGCAAATTGGGTTCATTACTCTTTGCAGTGAGGGAAAACACACAGCTTGGGGAAATGTGGGGTGTTTCAGTAAGAGGGTGTTAGAAAGAACTTATTATGGGACTTGAGCTTGTGCTAGGTTGTTTGCAGAAGGGGATAGGGAGCAGGGTTTTGCTTGGATTGGGTGTTTTCAGGAAGCAGGGTAACTCTGTGATTGGTATCTTAATAAATCTCGTCTGGAAGGAGGGATGACTGGCACAAGGCTGAAGCCAGAGGAGAGCTGGCAGAGATGCAGGAATCATTCCTATTAGCCAGGACAGGTGGATGCCTGGGCATTTCTGTCATTTGGACAATGTTCCTGTTTTGCCTGTGTTCAGGCATGATTATAGAGTGGACTCATTTTTGTCTTGATCTGTCATGGGCACTGAGCATCTTGTCTAATGTTGGTGTCCCGTGAAATTGCTCATGTTGAACAGAAGAGCACCAAGGCCTGGCTATGAGCACTGGGCCAGCTCCCAGGCATCAGGGACTGCTTTTCTCTTTCTTATTGTTCTCTCTCTCTCTCTCCCCTTTTTATTTTTTGTTGTTGTCGTTTATTTAACAATGTGGATATTTTTTCATATTTTTCTCAAATAAATAGAGGCTTATTTAATCAAATTTCTCTTGTTGAATAATTGAATTTTCTAAAACTTTAGGCTTATAATTAATACCAAAATAAAAATCTTTAGATTTCTAAATATATCTTTGCACACTTACACTGTTATTCCCTTAAAATAAATGTCTGAAAGTACAATTACTGTGTTAAAGTTTTTCATAGATTTTACCAGAATGCCCTCCATAGAGTTTGCACTAATTTCACTTCCAAAAATAGTACAGGAAAATACCCATTTTCCCCAGACCCTTGTCAGCACAGAGCATCATCAACCTTTTGTTTCTTATCTTTGCCAGTTTCGTAGATAGAAAAACATTCTTGAAGTATTTTCTTACATAAAATTTGATACACACAAAAGACAAAATGAGGCATATATATGACTCACTGGACAACCCTCCATTAGACTGTCTCAGCAGTTTCAGTGGAGTCCAGGGAGAGGGTACAGGGCTTTGGCATCCCAGGTCTGTTTCTCAAGCTGCCAGTTAAGAAGAGATGCCAGCAGAACGAGGTATCTTTTGGTTTTTGAGGATTTGAGATATACCTTGACTATAGTGCTTTTCAAAGTATGTTGCTGTCTGCTTACTCATCTGCCCCTGCCCCCCACCAAAATTATGAGCTTCAGGAGGGCAAGAACTATGTTTTATTCACTTTGGTGTCTCCAGAACCTAGCCCAGAATCTGGCCTAAGTAGACACTGTATTACTATTTAATGAACAATGAGTGAAGAAGGAAACACCACTTCCCTCCATGCAGGCAAGCCCCAGAATTTGGAATTTGACATCTACTGAGCACTATTTGGGTGTTTTATACACCGCAGTGGTTCAGAGCACAGGCTTTGCGATCTCAGAGAGCTGGGCTTTTGTCACAACTCGACCATGAACTAACTGTATGACCTTGAGCAAGTTACTTCTCCTATGAGCTTCAGTTTCGCTGACTGAAAATGTGGCTAATGATACCAGTCTTTCTGAGGTTCAGTTTGGTGTGTAAAAAGTTTAGCTCAACACTCACTCCATATCTAATAAATTATTGTATTTTAGGGCATTGTTGTTATTATTATTATTTTTATAATTTAGGGCAACTTTGACTAGGCATTTATGCTAGGAAAAGGGTGTTATGTCTTCCAGGGTTGTTTTAATTCCTTTACTCTGAAAGGAAGAGCAGGGAGGACCTACCTGTGAACTGCCAGACACAAACTGGGGCCCAAAGCAAATAAGGATGAAGGATGAAGTTGAGAACACAAGACAGAGAGAGATCATTTGAGCTGTAGGAGAGGGACACCCCAAAGCTGTCCCTGCAGAGTATCAGCTTGTGAGTAGAAGACCCCATAGACTGTGACTTGGTACTGCAGACCCATGTGGGCTCCCCTAGGATTACTGACCAGCGGATGGTATTGGCCTTTCAGCAGGCCCTGAGTTCTTTCCGTTACCCACAGGCAACCAGCTCAGCAATGGTCATACTTGTTCATTAAGTAAATACTGATTGAGCATCTGCTATGTGTCAGGCACTGTTCTAAGCAGTGAGGATGCAGCAGCGAACCACAAGCCATGGTCCAGGCACTTGTGGAGCTTGCAATCTAGCAAGAAGGAAAGTAATTAAAATAAACATGCAAACAAGAAAAAACAAATTAATGATGTGCTATGCTGAAATTAAAATAGGATGACATGATAGGAAGTAACTGGGGGCTACTTTATACTGAGTGATCAGGGTGGGTCTCTCTATGGAGGCAGCCTTTAAGGTAAAGCCTGCCTGACCAGAAGGATACAGGCTTGCAAAGATCAAGGGGGACAACTATTAATGGTTTAAATGCCTCGAGGTGGGAACAAGCTTGGTGTACCCAAAAAACTAAAGACTGGTATGGCCATTGCCCTCAGTGAGTGGAAGTAAAAATAGTTTGGATAGGTGGACAGGGGTCCTAACATGTAAGGCTCTGTCAGTCAGAAGGGGGAATTTGGATTTTTATTCTAAGTATGATGGGAAGCCATAGGAATTTAATCTGGAAGGAACAACATTGATGTTATTTATATTTTTAAAAGATCACTGTCTATATCTAATACAGTCAGTAAACTATAGTAACTGTTGTTTTTATTTGCCCAGCCAACTTTACCATGTCCATCCTTCTGACATGGTAATCCTGCCCTCCCTGGGCACGCATGTGACTCAGACCTGGCCGATCACAGCATCCCACTTCCTTGGACACAATGGTTCACTGTGGGCGTGGACGAAATAGGCAAGGCAGAATAAGCAGACATATCCATTTCTGATCTCGTCAACTCAAAGGGCTTGCGTGAACCTGAGGGTGAAAGGTTGGTCCTTGGATCCACCATCAGTTACTGACTCCTCCTGCCCAAATCATGCCACCAGCTGCAGGTGGTGAAAGCCTTAGCTTGTGGTTCAGCACTGCCATGAGATGGGTGCCAGCTCCTACATAAATGGCTACCATACCCACCAGTGGGCAGGTCTGGGATTAGCCCTAAACTCCAGGCCCAAAAGAGAGCTCCTGGTTGGTACTTATTTCTCCACAGAGCCTGAAGCAGCTCTCCAAACATGATCACTTAGCGTGGTCCTTCCAACCACCCCTGCCCCACCTAACATCCCCAGGAAGCTGGATCATTCTCTCCAATGCTTGCCCTCCCTGACTCCAACCAGGACCTGGTGTTTTACATCAATCCAGATGGACCATTCTGGAACCATATCTTGTTGTCTAATGGCCACACAACTTGATATGTCAGGAAAGACCTGTCCCTGGGTCCCACCAGGGAGAATCAAAAACTGCAGAAAGATTTCTTCTTTGTTGTTTGTATTGCTGTTAATAGTTTCCCCTCCAGTTGGTGAAAAAGATCTTGAAAAATTCCAACCTTGCCTCTGCCACAATTAAAAAAGCAAGTTTTATTCCCAATCCGTAAGAGAGGATATGTGCCTAGCTGACCACAAGTTGTCAGCTGTGGCCATAACTGGCCCCCTCTGAAGCGGCAGAGCAGCCAGGTCAGGGCCCAGCAGGTACCAAAAGGAGCCCTTTCCTGATGTCACTAGGCTACCAGTCAACTTGTGGGGCTATTGGGGAGAGGACAGGAGCTGGGCAACTCCTGGGAAAGGAAGTAGGCCTGCCTGGGACCTGACTCCTGTTGGAGTTAGGGCCAGTGCTGTGCTGGAGCTACCTTGGCTGGTAAGAGCCAATAAGGAGCATCTATTTCTATCTTTGCATTCAGTAAGGCCAAGGTGGTAGCAGCAGAACAGTGTCTAGGGGTGACAAGCTGAGAATCACACTTTATGGACCAGGGACCATAGCCAAAAGCAGAGGTGAATTTGAGAGTGAGGGCGGAAAGTGGGCAACCTTGAGAGTTTGGAGGTAAACACAAACACAAGCCCCCACCCCATGACTGCTGTAATGTGCGAAGGCCAGGCCGGTCCCTGGTACCAGAATCCTAACAATCCTCCCTGCAAGAACACAGGGGGCAAGAACTTGATCTGCCTCAACCCTTCTTCAGTACCCTTGTGCATAGACCCTCTCCCTTCCCACACCCGCACAGCCCAAAGATGATGCCATCGGTTATTCAAACTACTGGGAGTTGGTTTCACATTCCCATGCTATCACTCACTCTTGGGGCTTAAACTTCCCACCAAGATGTGACTCTGCTGCCTTCATACCTATTTCTACCCTTCCTCATTTTTTCTACATTTTTCATTCCATATTCCTCCAAGCAGAGCCACTTTCCAAGGACCATATGCCCCAAATACACTCTGATCTGGTCCCTCCCCTCCTTGAAGAACTCTTATCCCCACTCCCCACAGAAATTCTAGTCCCTCTGACATCACTCTACCTTTCTTCTTTCCCCAAAGTGGAGCTAACTCATAACCAGTGAGAAGGGTTAAAGTGAGGATAAACCAAAACACACAGAGCCTCCCTCCATTCCCACATATAGGGACCAGCAGGTCACTGAGGTCAAGCATATCTGAGAATTATAAAAATCACAGATCTGCCTCTCAAAACCTAGAAATCAGGCAGTTAAGATCTGGCCATAGATGACACAGGACAGAAAGACCATGAGGCAATGACCCTCCTTTTACTGAATGGGGCTTAAAGTTATTCCACGTGTCGTGGTTACCACATAGCTAAGTTATACAATTATGGCAAAATAAGCCAATTTTTACAATAACAACATCTATTGGTATAGATAGTGCTTTATTGTTTACACTTTTTCCCATTTAATCCTTGCAGCAACCCTGAGGTAGGTATTATTATCCCCACTTTACTAATGAGTAAACTGATGTCCCTAGGTTAGATTACTTGCCGAAGATCACATACTTATTAGTGGCAAAGCCACCAATAATTCCAAACCCAAGGGGACTCTTTTGAGTAGTTCACAGGCTGCTGTCAAGGAAAGTAGAGCAGAAAACTTCAACTGGGAAGGTCTGGATCATTCATTGAAGCTTGACGGGGTCACTCGTCAGGGATGAACGAGGCACATTCACAGGCCAAGACCAGGACTGAGCAGAAGCCTAGAGCACGTGGGAGCTGTCAAGCAGGAAGAGGTCCTGATGTTTGGCAAGAGTTGACGGTGTATTCAAATATGCTTAGAGCCCAGCTTCCAGGGACTGGGGAAACAAGAAGGCCTCCAGCAGCTACAAGTCCAGGGACTGGCCACAGCTAGTCAGACTCAAAGAGGACTGAGGAGCCATGATGGTCTTCCAGGCCCAGCAACCCCCTCGCATCTCAGGGGTCATCCTGTTCCAATGTTCAAACTCTGTTCCAGGCAGGGTGAGACCAGCAAGAACTGCTACAGAGTGACACCATTTCAGCTTGGCCAAAGATAGGTGACCTCAGGGCAGTGGTTCTTTAACTTTGTTAAGGCCTTGAGAATCTGATGAAAGCCATAAAACCTTCCCCCAGATAAATACAGACACACATGTATAGACATTTTGCATATAATTTCAGGGAGTCCATGAACCCAAGGTGGGGGACTCCTGCTTTAGGGCAAGGGTGTCACCCTGAGTAAATTCACTGAGGCAAACCCATCTTTATGCTGCTTGTATTTCCTATGACTGTTCCCCTTTTGTCATTCCCGAATATTTAGAATTCATGAAGTTAATTGTTAATGGGAGCCAAGGAGAGGGGGTTCAGCCTACACTCCAGCCAGAGAAAGCAGCTGCGGCATGGCAGTGGTGGCAGCCACAGGGCAAAAACAAAGAGAAGGATGGGGTCACATGTACTGCTGCCCTTCCCACCCAGAAGGTCACTTTGGGAGATTTTCTCTATTCAAATTTAGAGAAGGGTTGTGGGACAATGGGGAGAGGGGCAGTGTTTTGTTTCCTTTTAGAAAGGAAGGCCATTCCCTTACTGGCTACAGGGTCTGAGGTTCTTCAGGCAATGCCCCCATCCAACCTTCCCTCTTCCTACCCCCCATAAGGACCCCAAAGCACCGGCCCAGTCATTCATGCATTATGGCCAGGTCTCCTATGAATACCCAGGTATTTACACACGCACTTTCACAGAAGGAAAACTGGGAAGGGGGAGATCTCAGAGCAGAGATTCTATGCTGCAACATGGGGATCATGCACTCCCCACAGAGAATCAGATAAACTGGGAGAATCAGCAAAACCACCCCGAGGACTTAGTGCACATTAGTCCCCAACCACCTCCATGGCTCTTCCTTCTGGCCAGGACCCAACTAAAATGCAAAATCATGGCTGTGTCCTGTGCCCTGTCCCCAAAACTAATGGAACCAAGATAGGGGGCCAGGGCCGAAGGGTCACCAGTGGTTCAGAGGTGGGAGGAGCCCCAATTTCCTGCAGAGAGAAATTCTGATCTCTCATGGGAATCAGGAATCAGGCAAAGGCCTAGCCCCAAGCCCACCCAGACCCAGAGATGACAGACACTGGAGTCCAAGTGATCACTCAGACTCAGAGAGAACTGAGAGGCTATGATGGTCTTCCAGGCCCTGTGACACCTGGCATCTCAGTGATCACTCCATTCCAGTCATCACTCATACATTGGTGGTTATTTGTCTGGATCTAGATGGATGTTTCATCACATGTAGCTAAAGGAGCCCCAGTTAGCCGAATGTGGGCTGGGCTTGGGCAAGGATCCAGCAGGAAGGGTGGAGGGAAGCCACCAAAACCACTACCCCTTTTGGCCAAGGCCAGGGGAAGCCGTTCATCTTCAGGAGAAGGGGATGGAGGGTCTTGGCTGTAGCTTGTGGTCCCAGATTGTGGGGCCCCCAGGTCCAAGCCCACCTTGTCTCTCGCCAGAAGTTCTCTCTGTCGCCGTCGCTGCTGATGCCGACCAATCAGGAGGAGAGTCAGGGATGCTGCAAGAACCCCCAGGACGAAGCCGGCCAGTCCAGCCCCCACTGTGTGGGCCCGGCTTGGGGGCCCCCGCTGGCTGCCCCATACCAAGCTGTAAGCTGCTACCACACGAGCAGCTCCACCCTCCCGACATTCACAGGCATAAGCACCCATGGCCCCTGGGGTCACCACCACCTCTAGCCCATCCCGCCGGGGTGTGAGTGCAGTCACTCCACTGGGTTGGTGCCACACACAGGATGCCCATGCTGAGCTTGGGGAACATGGCAAGACCACATGTGCAGCTGTAGCCACAGGAACCTCAAACACTACTGGGTGTTCTGCAGAGAGACAGCAAAGGCACAAAAGGTGGTGAGGCTATCAGCTGCGGATGTGATGGAGAGAAAACAAGGGTAATATCAGACATGAGAAGGGGCCAGGAGGACAAAACTAAAAGGGGGATTCCCAACAGGGACAGGCCCTGGGTCACTGGCTACCCTATCTTCCAGGATCCAAATTTTAAAGTGGGTCCAAATGGACAATTTTCTGGCCCTTTTCCATCCACTCCACCCACACTTCCCTAAATCATACAGACCTCCAGGCTCTTTAGGACACAACGAAGAGACATCTGCAGACTCTATATCTTGGACCAGCCTATAAAGAAGGAAATACTTAGTAAATCCAGTGTCAACATTCCCTTCTACCCTCCTCAGTACCACTGAACATTCACATACTTGTTACAATCTCCCATCATCTTGGAAATCATACCTGGAATGATTAGTCAACATTCTCCTCATCACCAGATTT